AAAAAAAAAAAAACATTGGGTAGAACTTATGTCAAGAATGGTGAAACATGTCAGCACCCCAGAGGCTGAGGCCAAGAGACTGCTGGAATTCAAGGCCAGCCAGCTTGGGCTACAAAGTGAGTTAAAAGCCAGTCAGAATTACACATCAAGAGCCTGGCTTTAAAAAAAAAAATGTGTACAGCTGGCTGCCTCTGGGAACGGGATGAAGGTGGCCTAAGGGCAAAGAGCCTTTCACTACCCACCAATTTACACCTGCCTGCTCAAAAACGTAATTTTAATGTAGGTGGCTAATTGAAAATACTGACTACAGAAAAAGGTTTTAGAAAAACACCAGTGCCTTGTCCCCACCATGAAAATGTTCCTCCTTCTACAGACCATCTCTAAACCCAATTGTAAAAACCTGGAATGTTAGCAGAATGGACCATTTGCACAATTCTCCATTCTTCACACATCACTTGCACCACTTTGATAAACCAGGAAATTTCTTGGAGAACATAAGCGGTATGAGGGAACTCATGAACGAGAAGAACAGAAACTCTGAAAACTGACATTACCAGTGTTCCGCAGTTGGCCCCGTGTACAGGCCCCTGCCAGCAGGAATATGGCGAGCCATAGTCCCCGTGCCACAGTCCTCACCTGTCTGCACAGCCACACGTGCAGGTGAACAGGAGACCGACAAGGACGCATGCCAAGATTTACAACCACCCCAGCCACCTCACTACAGTGGCTACAGTTCCCAAAAGAACCATGAAGGTTTCATGTGTTTGGGGTAACAGGGAAGAGACGGACAGGTAGAAGGTAAATCAATCTGCGCCTCATGGAAAAGAGTCCTTTCTTTAAAATACAGTACTTCCATTCCTCCACAACTGTGCCTGCTTTCTTTCAAGTACGAACTGAAGTTTATTACAAGGAACACCAGAGTCAGAAAGCATCTACGAGAGGCGAAACGCCCCAAGGTGGTGGAGAGCGCAGGTCTTCCAGCTCCCTGGCCCATCCCTTTCCTGCTGCCCCAACCATAATTTACAGCTGCGTATCTGCCAAACTGCTTCTCTGATCTAGAGGATCGTGTATTCGCAAATGCATGGTCTTTCCAAATAAGCACACAGTAAGAACATTTACAGCTTTCATTGATACATATTTCACCCAACACAATCACATCTTCCAAATGCTGTAACTAAGAAGCCTCTGGGGTGACAAGTGTTGTAACACATGAATGGATGGAGGCAAACCTGCGGCACCAGGATGTTTGCTAGCAATGAAAGCTCTTAAAGGTTCACCAACCCTGACATGAACTCAGGCTGTGGAGAACAGGGTAACAGACGCGCACTCAGCAGAAACCTTACCTCTCACTTGATGCACAGGAATTAACTTCCCAGCTAGCATGTCATAGACATACAGAACCTTGCTGTGAGTGCTCGTGGCTAAAACCTGCTCCCCATTAGCACTAAAACAAGCTTTGAAGATTGGAAACTTTTCCAAATAGATGCTCTGGATTTTAGGGTTTGTTTTGCCATCAACCTGTAAGAAAGTACAAATTATTTCTGTCAGTCATCTCCATGAGCTCTTATTTTGGCAGTGAACAATGTCAATGCAAGTCTTCCTTTAAAAATGCATACCTGAAACAGTGAAAAGGCGTTATCCAAGCCAGCAACCATCACAACCTGGGCACAGGGATGGAACTGGACCGACGAGATCTGGGCAGTGGTAGGCCTCTCGGCGTTAGCATGCTGGCAGTTCTTCATCTATGGAAAACAAAGCTGGAGGTTCATCAGTGCAAATGGATCAACATCATTTAGAGCATGAAGAAAAAAATATCACAGATGCTAACAGAAAAACTGGAATGATAACTATGGTGGCACCAGCTAGCAAGTCCCTCTATAATTGTAGAATCCACCTTTACCATCTTGCAACTGGAAGGACTAAACCTCCAAGGCCCTCTCTACCTCTTCAGGTCCAGATTTATTAAGCATTCTTAGAGCACCGGAACAGTCACTTCCCGGAATCTACCCAAGTCAGTCACAAGACTTTCCCTCTGTGACTTCCTACACTTTCTCTGGCGGCTCTTCATTGCCAGCCAAGTACAAGAGGCCGTGTGGCTGTCCCTACGGCTCTAACAGGGCACAGGTTGTTGATGTTCTCTCAAGGTGCACCACGGCTCGTTTCGAGTGGTGATGACACCAGGCATCACTTGGAATATTTTCAGTTATTTCTTTTGCTTTTACAAGTTTCCTATCTACATTAAAATTCAATTTTAAAAAAAGCAAGCATTATATGCATGTATTATTTGAAACTACTGAAGTTAAATTTTTATGTGAACCACATTTCCAATGCCAGTGAATTTACGCCATGAAGCCCTGAAAAAAATGTACTCAAGAGGGAAGGAAGGACACAATCACTCTATCTGCTAATAATTTACTATAATAGTTCTCCTGCCCCTTCAAAATATATACACCATCTTATAGCAGAGGAAAATGTCATACAGAGATCTGTCAAGTGCACAGGTATTGAACTGAAGCACTGTGCTGGACAGGCACTTGGTTACCACAGTGAACCAGCTAGACACCGTGATGAGTGAGAGAGCAGACAACGCAGAGCACTTTAGATAAAGTCCTTTCTAAGGTGCCTTTTGAGCAGGAAAATAAGCTAGTCACTAGCAGTGCTTGAAGCAGACAGGCGAAAAGAAGAGAGGGCAGAAAAGTCCAAAGACAAGAGAGGACCCAAATGTTCAAGACACAGAAGGCCTGTGGAGCTTGAGTCGGGAAGACAGTAGTCTGAGAAAGCGGAGGACATGGGTAGAAGCCAGACCAAAGGCATTGCAGACTACAATACAAACTCAAAAGATTTTAGAAAGCACTGAAAAGTGACTTGGCCTGCTATTTTATCACTAAAATCTCTCTCCAGGTACTAATCACAGAGCCACTACAAAAGGCCAGGAGAGATGACAGGAGCAGGGCCAAGGCTGCTACCAGTCACAACGAGGAGAAATCAAGTATTTATCTCTAGAGTTAAGGGGGGACATAACTCAATTATTTTTACAAAAGAAAGGAGAAGCATAAATATTTACTAAGGCAAAATAACAGCAAGCACATTTAATCCCACACAAATCAGGAATCCTAGTTACATCTGTAACTGAGAAATACAGAAGTAACTGGACAGATCCTAACTTCAAGGATTCTCACCTTCAAGATTCCTCTTGGGAGAGAAGATGATGTGGACAAGAAATTCCCAGTCCTGTGCAACAAATCATCTTCATCCTCTTCACTTTCATCTAAGTCAAACAAACCCACAGACTGATCTTTAGAATCAAGGAGATACCCCTTTACATACTCTAAACTTCCAAATTCCCAATGTCTCATACCCTCCCAGTCTTCCAATCTTTGGTAAAAGCAAAACAACAAAATATATTTAAAGGAAAGAAGATCACACAGCAATTACATAAAGTTGAAGATCAAAGCTTAACTCTGGACAGACTAATATACATAGTTTGTGACTAAAGACAAAGTGAAATAAAATTCAAATAAAACCAGGTATCTCTTTCTAATGGAGTTTGTAAATAGGATATCTCAGAAAAGAATTGCGCTCTGATTTCCTCTCTATCTTTCTGCTGTTGCTTTTCTACTATTGACGCTCTTGATTCATGCATTTGAGCCGAGCTAGTGTCCTCTGCACTTGTTCTGGGTGGGCACTGGGTTGCTTCTTATGTTTCTGCATTTGATTCTCTACTGCAGATGTTATTAATTCAGGGATTTCTTTTTTCATTTCCAATCTGAGGTCTTCTATATC